CTCTCTCTCTCTCTCTCTCTCTCTCTCTCTCTCTCTCTCTCTCCCTCCCTCTCTCTCTGTCCCCTCCATTCCCTGCCACCAGCAGTATTTCTCACAGAAGAACAGTTGCTCCTGTAAACATCCATTTTTTTTTTTCCTCTCTTACATGGAAAATGGGAAAGGTTAGATTGAAGGTGACAGCCAATAGATTCTGGCCACAGAACTGGAGGCCTTCCTTTTGCCAGAGGGACCTGGAGGACTCTCAGCAGTGATTCTGTGCTTGGCTAAACTCTGGAAAGGCTCTTTAAAGCCCAGATGCCAGGGGCCCTCTCCCAGACTTCCTGGTTCAGCAGATCTGGCCCGGGCTCAGGATCTGTAGTGTTCCCAGCTTCCCATGCCGCTGGCCACAGGAGCAGGCTTGAAGAACCATGGCACAGCCAGCACCTATTTTACACAGTTGAGAAACTGAGGCTCGCCAGCAGAAATGAGATGCCAGCAGTGCTGGCGACTTGGTACCACATAGGTTTGGTGCCCAGGTCGGGAAGCTTTAAAAGCCAGGTGAAGGGACAGGGGAGGCTGATCCATCACCTCTCTTCTGGCTCCCTGTCCAGGGCAGCTGAGGCAGCTAGCTTTGCTCCCCAAAGGTCATAAGCAGACCAGTGCCCACCACCCCAGAGGACAGTGTCCCTGGGGCCAGGCCCTCCCAGGCAGAGTGTCCCAGGTGTGTCATACTGCTTGTGAGTGAAGCATCCCCTGCCAGGTGCCCTGTGCTCAGATCTGTCTTTCAATCTGCACATGCGTGGACCATGACCAGGATCCTTTCTTCCATTTCTGGCATTTCAAACCTGGTGGCCCTGACAGCAAACGATGGTACTTCGGTGACTCACATGGTTGAATGCTGTGAATTCCAAGAGCAGGACTGCGCCCCTGCTCACCTTGGCGCGCACATCGGTTGGAACAGCTCTGAATTCATGTTTGAGATTTTCCAAAGCTATCAAAAAGAAGCCACCTAAGGGCGATTGGGAGCCCAGCATATACATGAAGCAGGTTAGGAAGCACATTATTTCTTGTTTAGGAGTGCAGACTGAGAAGATGGAACTGGTGTAGAGACGGAACCTTCACAGTCAATCCCAGTGCAGTGACCGCACATGAAGTTTGTCTTTTTGTACAAACAGAGCTGCATTTTTAAACAGAAAGACAAATGTTAGTCCCCTAGCTCCTCATTTGAGGAAGAGCACAGGTAGTGTTTGCTTATTCCTGGACGGCGGGGTGTGCAGCCCAGGTGGCTCTGTGTGTGCGTGGGGGGCTGGTAACCACGCACACGCGTCGCTGCTGTGGCTGGATGCAAATGACTTCATCATTTGTCAAATGTAATTTAACTCCCTGTGACATGCTCCGAAGTCATCGAGAACAGCATGTGCTATCGTATGCCCTCAATGTGTCTTTTAGGCAAGCTATTGTGCTTCTTCAGTAAAATTCACAGGAGGCTATTTGTCCAGACAAGAAAGCAAAATAAACGGGTTAATCTTGTGATGCTAATTCCTTGCCGACTACAGACTCTGCCGGGGCCCAGAAAGAAATCCCACGTTAGCAGTTGGGCTCCAAACTGTGGGGCACGAAATTGGATCACCCTGCGTCTTCTCTGCTGTGTTGGCCTGGTGCATGGAACAGTCCCCCGTTGCTGGGGTGTGGCCTGAGGTGGCGTGAGCACTAATTGTGACCTTTCTTCTGCAGGGTGTGGAGGTGCAGACCGACTATGTGCCTCTGCTGAACTCTCTAGCAGCCTATGGCTGGCAGCTTACCTGTGTGCTGCCCACTCCTGTGGTCAAGACAACCAGGTAACAGTAACGCTAGTTATCCATGCTGGATACCTACTGTGTGCTAGGCGCTGCTCCAGAGACACACTCCGTGTGCATGACTTTACTTCATGCTGTGACAAACCTGTGGAGCTGTATCTTTCCACTCATGTACACCTCCCCACGGGGAGTGATAGGGCCACAACTTCATCTGCTCTGTCACCATCCCCTGGAACATTCCTTGGCACCCCACCCCCACCCCCACCCCTAGAGCCTTGGCCAGTGAATCAGTCCTGGCCAGCAGGACTAAGATTAGCCACCTAGGCTGTCAGGGCTGCGCCCCTTCTGATGCAAAAGAAATTCAGCATCTACCATGTGTCCTAAGCTATGCTAGGTACGTGCTCTATATAAAATTTCAATCCTCAAAATAAAGAAAAAAATATCCTATAAGGTGGATTTAAAAAAAAAAACAACTAAACCCCTTTGAGGAAAAGGATGGCCAGGGATGCTGGTGGTCATGGTGTCCGTCAGCATCCCCACAAAAGGGATGCAAAACCTAGAGTCTAGAGCCTTGTCCAGGGCATTCCTTCCTTACAGTTTCATATTTGTAGCTGTTTGTTCACTCTCTGCTCTACCAACCATATCCCTTACGCTCTGTCATACCAATTCCAAAAGGCCTTCCCTCTCTATTTGGGGTTTTCTTGTCTAAATCAGTCCTCCTAAATATCCTTGGGAATTATAACCATAGACTCTATTCCTGTTTTATAGATGAGAAAACTAAGGCTCAGGAAGTTCAGCTTCACCCCCTGAGGCCCCACAGCCAGTGTGGGTACAGCCTCAGTGTGCAGGGTCAGATTCCCCTCTCTTGTGGGTCTTCAGGGTCCTGGCTTCCCAGGGGCCCATGGCACTGTGGGCTGGTGACCCTGAGATGTCTGAGGCTGGAGAGCACAGGTGATGCCCGGTACTTTTCCTGGGTCCCTCCTCTGGGCCATCCACACAATATAGTGGGTCATGACAGGTCTGGTCTGGCCACGTTTGGGTCCTGTGGCCACTGAGCCACCATATTCCTGTTCATGTAAGACTTTTACAGACACAGGGCAAAGCAGTGGAGCAGACAGCATCCTGGATTTATGGCCTCAAGACCTGAAGCCAAGTCCCGAGTTTGCCACTTGCTATCTCTGTCATCCTGGCCCAGTCATGCAGCTTCTCTGAGGCAGTTTCCAGAGGACAGGAGCCATGATAACAGTGAATTTGAACACAGAGTCCCAGCTGGTTCTGAGCTAAGCCCAGGGTATAGACATCAGCCTGCTTCTTAAATAAGCCCTCATGGTGAACTGGAGAGGGGGCTTAGGACCAGGCAGATCTGCTTTGGCCTCTGCCTGTGTGAGCCGGAGCCTGTCCCTGAATTCATTTCCAGTCTGTCGGTGTAGTAGTTGGCTGCCTCACAGCGTCTTGGTGAGACCCCCAATGGGTGAAATCGCCAGCCCAGCTCCTGGCACAGAACAGGGGCCAAGCAAATATTACCTGCTGCCTTTCTCAGAGTTGTATGCCTAAATGCAGTAAGATATTTGTAAAACACAAAGTTAAGAAAGCAGTCAGAAGGGCAAAAGTGGGAGAAAACAGTGTTTTCCTTCATGCTCTTTGCGGGCAGCTCCAGGGTGTCCTGCCTTTTCTGTATCAGAGCAAGGGAGCAGCCCCTTACCTGTACTGGTAATGTGGGTCACAGCTGATTAGCAGGCGCTATCCCATTGTCTTTTTGGCATGGGCATCCCTGTAGGAGCCATGCCATGGAAGACCCCAGGGCCAGCCATGCCCTGTGTGTGCCTTCCTGCCTGCCTGTCCCAGCCACCATTACCAAAGATAGACTTGGAAGATGCCTCATCCTTTTGAGAGTCACTGAAGCAGCTATTCTGTCCTCATTTGGCTAAGACAACAGCCACTGCTTCCTGGCCAGTCCAAGGAAGTGGAACTTGGAGCAAGGAAGCTGACTGACTGCAGGGCCAACCAGAAAGTCTGTCAGGACTCTCAAATAGCCCTCTGGGCCTGGCGGGTGAGAAGGTGGAACAGGGTCACTTCTTAACTTCCTCTCCTAGTTTGGTGGCAACTTTCCTCTGCTTTAATGACGTCAGGGGCCACAGTGTGTGGGTTAGGTTTGGGGTGCTTCTGGGTACAGTGTGACTCACTCAGCTCCGTGTGTTGCAGGGAAGGGAGCGTATCCACCAAGCAGATTGTCTTTCTTCAGAGACCATGTCTACCTCAGAAAATCAAGAAGAAGGAATCAAAGGTAAGAGACTTTGGTTGCCTTACTGGGTTTTCCTCAGCAGGGCTTCGTCGCCTAATGGATTTTCCGTAGCAGTTGGGTGGGCAGCCAAGGAAACACCTGAGCCCCTTGGCACACTGCCGAAAGAGGGTAGCCGAAGGGGCTGGTGGGCTGTTCTGCTGGCAGCCAGGTGGAAAAGGCAGAGGGCAGAGGCTTTTCTAGACACTTGCACTTACCACATAGTCCCACAAGACCCAAAACAGGAGCCCCGAGTCAGTCAGCTGCACCCTGACCAAGGTCAGGGCTGGCTTACGCTCACACTCAGCTTTCCTGTATGTTAATCTGACTCACTTGGTTGGCGCTCTCACCTGACCCCCCGGGAATATGAAATCTGCTGATACTGGCAGAGAGACTCCAACTCAAAGGCTTTCAGTGACAGCTGGTTCAGTGGGAAGAGGCCAGCCGTGGCCCGTGGCAGGAAGGCCTCAGGCAGGGCTATGCTCAGGGATCCCCCAAAGTTCTCTCTCACTGGACTTCTTGAGAGTTGGGCACAATTGCACATAGACCCTGACCATGCTCAGACTGTTCGCCATGTTTCCCAAGGCTGAGTTCTGGTCCTTCTCTTCTGTCAGGTGATTTTGAGCCTGTGGGTGTTCTGCCTGTATGTTACAGGTTGGATCTTCAGGGTCCCCCAAAGACTTGTGTGCTGAAGGCTTTGTCCTCAGCTGCCTGCCATGCTGGGCAATGGTCGAACCTTTAGGAAGTGGAGCACAGTGGGGGTGGGCCCTTAAAAAGGATCCTGGGACTTGGTCTCCCTCTCTCCTTCCCCCGTCCTGGCTGCCACTGCTCAGCAGCTCTTCTGTCAGATGCTCCCTGCCTTGTTGTGCGGCCTCATAACAGCCCCAAACGCAGTGGAGCCACCTGACTGGAAAGCGAAAGCTCTGAAACCAGGAGCCAACATGGACTTTCCTTGTTTTTAGTTGGTTTTTCTCATATATTTTTGTGACACGAACAGAAAGCTGACTACCACGCAGGTGATGCCACCAGTGGCTCAGGAAGAGGGCGGTGAGTTGAACGAGCCCACCAAGCCCCCAGTTAGATCAGCTTGATCTGCCACGCTCCACTTTGCTGGCCAAGGCCATATTCGAGAAGAATCTGCCCGCGCTGTCAGCCCTGTGCCCTCGGCTCCATCCCCATGTTCCTACTCTGAGTGGCTCATGTGCTTTGGACAAAGATCACTAAGCAGGAACACTGAGCAAGCAGACAGACTGGAGTAGCCCCTCGCCAGCCAACAAAGCCAGGGGGTGCCCACGCATAGAAGGGATGCCAAGGCAACCAAGACACGAAACCAGATGGACTGGGGTGCAGAGGAAGGTCCGGATCCAGGCTCTGAGAGTGTAATGTGACAGGTGACAGCAGCGGTGGACTATCAGGCAGCTGCTGATCCACCATTAACCACCAGGAGCAGTTGGCTGCCAGCTGCAAGATGGATAGCCGCAGACCACTGTCAGGGGCCACTTGCTCAGTCGTGGGCTCAGGGAGACGGTATCATTCATAGAAAGTGACATTCAACAAGCGACACACACAAGGTCTCCTACCAGATACTGGAAGGCACTGGCTGCAGCTCGGACAGGGGCGTGGCGCTACCTTTCCTTGCCAGGTGCCTGCCTGTGGTGTCGCTTGACCTTGGAGGAGAGGCCCTGGCATCTCGGAGGGGGACAAGTCCCTAGCAACTTGAGCTGGCAGGAAGGTTGCAGAGGTAGAGTCTTAAAGCTGCTCTAAGGAGGAAGAATTGTTTCCTTGGAGAAAAGCCAGAGAGATTGAGGGTCACTGTTTTCCTAGTCAGTAAGAGTTTCCAATCCTAATCAGCTGTATAAATACAAGGGAGCCCCTCTTCTTGGAAATAGCCCGTTCCCGCATCATTCCAAGATCAGGTGACTGGTACCAGGCCCTTGTTCTCTGCAAGACCTCTGAGTCCCTGGTGGACAGGGAACTTTGCAAGCCAACATCTTGGAAGAATCCTATGCTCAGTGTCTTTGTTCCTGGTATTCGTGCTTGAGCTGCCTCGGTAGATGTCCCCTAGTGACCTTTCAGTGACTTCACCTACTCATCCTACCTGGGCTCCCACGACTCTGGCAGCGTGGGCTGCAGCCTCTTCTCTTAGTCCCATGCACTGCATCCTCCTGATTGTCTATCTACCAAGCGTTTCAGGATCAGAGGCAGCCCTGTCCCTCCCCACACTTAGAGGTTCCCTAGAAAATCTCCCGGATCCCCGGGCATCCCCTACCGCCTGCGTTGGTGACTGTTACCTATATGGCCAGTCAGCTCCTCCTGCGACTCTGGCTGCAGCTGTCCTGCTGCTTGTTCCACCTCAGAGCAGGCTCATGGCTGCCACTCCTCATAGCTGGCCCACCAGGCCCGCAGCTGGAGGCATAGTACCCACCGAGCGCAGCCAGATGCACCCTCTCCTTCCCCGTCTGCAGTCTGTCCTTCAGACCTGCATGTTTTCTTCATTTCCAGACCCTCTAGATTCTCTCCACCATCACTTTCCAACTGCTCTAGTCTCATAGTAACAGGGCTGTCCCTCCAGTATGCTTTCGACATGGAACCTTCTTTTTAAAAAAGCAAACAATCACATCACTCCTTAAAACAGTTCTAGCTGGGGATATAACTCAGTGGCATAAGTACCTGCCTGGTAGGTGCAAGGTCCTGAGTTTGATCCCTGGTACCACAAAAAAAAAAAAAAGAAGTTGTAAAGCTTCATGTTAAAGATGGGAATTGGTACTGGGCCTCAAACCCCGCTTGACCCGGTATCTCCTATCTCCTCAGTCCGCCCCCAATGACCCACCTTTCCTGACCAGATTCTACCTCCTAACATGTTAGTTCGCTATAAGACCTTTAATCTAATCACCTCCCAGAAGCTCCTGAGGTTTTTGGGAATATTTTTTATCTAAACCACAGCACCAGGGGCACTTTTCTCTCCTCTGAGGCCATGCCAGGCTCCTTCGTGGTATACTGGGAAAGAACTGCCTCCCTCCCTGGCCGAGCGCTGCTCTGGGCCTGTGAGCTTTGGCTTCTTCCTTTCTGATAGAGTCTGATTTTCACTCTAAGAAAGGGAACACTGTTGTCTCTCTGATTGTTATTTATACAGTACCTGGGTTTTAGCTGGTACTCAACAAATAGCTGTTGAATCAATGAATGGCCACACTTTGGAGGCCAGGTCTAGCATTGAAACCTTAGGAAGAAATTACAAGACAAGCACACCAAGAACATGGCATCTTCAGTCCTTTCATTGGCAACACTGACAGAAATCTCCCAGAGTTTTCAGTGTTTAAAAGAAATCACTGTATGTGAGTGTGATGTTTCCAAGCAGGCATGAGACTCCTTCAAAGGGAAGAGCTGATTTCTACACCAGAGAAGGCTTCCTTCCAGCAAAGTACTTGGACACATATTGGACAGTTTGTAAAATGTGCAAATTAAACCCATTAGGCCTTGCTGACACTGAACTCTGGATACACACTCTTTCATTTTACATAGCTCTGAGCCGGGTGGCTACCTGGAGTTGTTGCTGCAGTCTTGTTAATCCTCTGGCTTAGAGAGGTCCTGATTCAGCCCAGCCTGTCTTCCTAGTGCTGTGACTATGCTCATTGTGCCTGTGCATACTCAGGTAGTGGACGCCTCTGCAGCAGGGGTCACCTGCACTGAGGCGTGGTGGACGTTCCACACCAGCCCCCAAATGTCAACCAGAAGGACAGGCTACAGCCCTAGCCACTCCTTGCTTGCTGAGATGTCTCCTTTTTGAGTCTTGAGATCTGGAACAGTTTTTGTTATGTGTGACAGACTGTCACTGCCCCATGCTTAGAGGAGAAAGTGAAGTCCATGGTGAAGGGAGACAAGTTAAAGATGGGAGGAGGGACCCCTTTCCCTGGGCGGCAGAAAACGAGCTGGGGTGATGGCACTTCTTCCCCCATGTGTGTTCCACAGTTTAATCTGCCTACCTGCGCAGGTATTCTTCTTAGTTCCTTGGTTTTCAAACTGTGGCCCACGAGGCAGCCGAATCAGCGTCACATGGTACCCGGTTAGAAGGAGAGGGCGTCCTCTCTCAGCCCTCCAGGTGGTCCTTATGCCCTCTCAGCGCTGAGGGCCAGGATCTCAGCTGACGCTTCAGGGCTCTCTGCAGGCTCACCTGTGGCCCTCCAGTCACATTTTATCATAATTGAATCTTTAACAATGGGCCCATCAGGAAGCCTTCGGTGTATGATACTGTTTTTAACAAGCTGGACCAGAGCATCTTTAACGGCAGTTAAGTCCGGACTCATCTTAATCGGCCACGTACCTGACCTAGCGGGTGCATGCTCACAGCCTGAAGGTGGAAGCCGTCACACCTCAGGCTGATCCACTCCACAGGCCTGGCCTTTCCTGTCACTTCCTCTCCTGGCAGTCCTCCAGAGCCAGAGAGATCAGTGTGGATTCCAGCTCTGATTTCCTAGCTGTGTGAGTTGGGGCAAGTTGCTTAACCTCCGTATCATCATCAAGACAGCGTCTGTGTGGATTGAGGAGGTTGCTTTGGAATTGAGGGAAGCACGAGCGGCCACAATGCAGGTTCCTGTTCTTGCCTGGCATGTCGGTCAGCTTGCCTTCGCAGCAGCTGGCTCTGAACATTTCGGCTTCTAGCTGGTGCCAACCCCAAATGTGGCTGCCGCTCCTTAAAGCTCACCCACAAAGGAGGAGGAAAAGGGAAGGCCCAAGTGAGGTCCTCCTTGGGACCTGAGTACCTGGCTGTGGCCCCTGTGACACCTGGAGGGGTTGCGATGGGGCCCAGGAGTCAGGTCACCCACAGGCTCATCGAAGGACGTGGAGAACGTTGTAGTCCTAAGCCACATTGGTTTGGTAGATTCTTCTGTGATGACTCTGCAGGGCAAAAGCGGCCACACGAGTCTCACCCACCTCACCTGGGCAATTGCTAGGCCTTCTCTTCCCAGCAGCCCGGGCAGCACCCTGGAGAAAGTGGCTGTGTGTCTGTGCCCCATGCCAGGCTGTCAGGAGGGCAGAGAAGTGGCATCTTCTCTGGGACATGATGTGGTTATGTATCCTGAGGGGACGTCCATAGTGCTGTGTTTTTTCAGCAAGAGCAGGCCCTGAGAGAGTACCTGGGCTTATCTTAGAAAAGGGCAGGTGACCACAGGAAGGTCTACAAATGTACCCCGGCCGCCTGCAGAGGACGCTGTTCATCGGCTGCGATGTAGACGGGGTCCGGCAGGGGTAGCTAGGGAACAGCAGGCCTGGAATTTGAACTTGAGGCTTCCAAGTCACACTACAGCACTGTAACATGTTAGCAGGGGAGGGCTCTGTAGCCAAAACAACCACACTAGTAAAACTTCCTCTGTCTTCTGTGTTAGCTGCCTCGGAGGCGTGCTTAACTCTGAAACCTTTCTCTAAAACATGCAACATGGGGCAAAACCTTTCTCTAAAACATGCAACATGGGGCAAAATTTGAAGACTAGCCTAGTCACACGGTGCCTGAAACACGGTGAGGTATGGTGCCAGGGGCGCAGGTGTCACGCTCAGGTTCAAGTCAGCGTCCTCTTGTGGTGGGTTGTGGAGTTGAGGCACCTGCTGGGTAGTCGTTGCAGAAGTGGGCACATCTGTAAGAGGACTGGGGTCGGAGGTACCACTTACGCTGTGCAGTTTCCCATGGGTCCACCATGGGAAACACAGCTTGGGTGGAAGGAGCCCCTACTACCCCCAAGGGAAGTCAAGTCCCCAACACATGAGTGACAAATGGAAAACCCAGCTATCACTAGGAATCGGGAGGATGACATAAGGAAAGACAGGATAAGTGTCCAATTGTAACCTCAACAAGTGCTTCACTACTTTTTCTCTACTCTCATGCAGTCTTCAAATTTACCAGTCTTGTCTAGAAGGTATCAAGTAATCACATGGTGTTTGTTTATTTTGGTACTGAGAATCAAACTGAGGACCTGACGCATGCTAGGCAGGCACTGCCTCACCGGGTTAAAGCCCTGGCCCATCCCATGATGTTTAAACCTCAGACCCTTGCAGGTGTTTAGGCAAATGTTTTGTTGGAGGAAACCCATCTCTGCCGTGGAAAACTCTGCACAAGTGGGTTTGAAACATTTACACAGCACATTTGTGGGGTTTCCTAGCAAAGCAGTTGGGATGGTTTCTAACGTGGTAGGTTTTCCACTGATGGTGCATTCCTAGGCACCCCTCTCCAGCTCTGTGTGGTATCTCGAAACTGCAGGATCCCGGATGTATCTTTCAGTCACAGAGTATCTGACATTTAAGTGTATTTGGTGTAACCAGGGTGTTGCAGCTGAATCAGGAAGAAGTGATCATGGTGGGAACTCAGAGTCCTGTGTGTAGCGTGGGTCCCTGGGATGAGAAAAGAGGCAGGGAACCTGGCCCCCGAGCGGCAGGGCAGGGCCTCGGCCAGGCATTCACACACCAAAGCTTTGCTAAGATGAGGATTCCTGTGCTGCTCTGCTACTGGAAGAGGGACTAAGAGTCCCTGCTGACTTCTTGTCCCATGGGGAGATACTTGGGTGCAAGTCATGTGCCCGGGAAGAAGCAAATGCAGAGGTAAATCTGGGTAGAGAAATTTTTAATTTTTATGAGGTCCTCCTCAGGATACCTGGAAACAGAGAGGAGAGTGGGCTGAGGGCTCTGCAGCTGCAGTGATCTTCAGGACTGGGACATGGAGATAAGCTGTACAAGCCCCCTGAACGAAACACTGGCTGCAGGTTATCCCAGGAGGGGAGAGACTTTGAGTAGAGTGCTAGCCAGAGGGAAAAGGTCTGTCAACCAGTAGCAAAGCCTGCCAGTTCTATGCTACTGGGTGGCCCAGGCAGTGTCTGCCCCACATACTGTGCCTTGTCTCATTCACGGGAGCTGGGGAAAGAATGCCAGCCCACACGGTGGTACCCTATAGCATCCTCAGGATAGAAGCTAGCAGTTGGGGCTCCACTGAGCCCCAGGACCTGCACCCTGCATCTTCTCCCCCAGCCTGACCCTCCAAAAGATAGACTTTTGAGACCCCCTTTCCCACTTTGGCACGGAACCCATGAGAACACTCTTTCACCTCGTAGCACCGCCAAAATGCACATCTGGAATGCATGCCTCAGCAGGCCCCGAGGTGGGGAGGAAGGGTTTGGGGTGAGATTGAAGGCTAACCTAGCTGGAGGAATCCTGGGAATTGTTGCGCTCAGAGACATGAGGGGAGCGAATGCACGCCCTTCAGGTGAAGCCCTAGGTTCACAGAGCCTGCACTCACCTTCCCCCACCTTCTCTGATTTCTAGTTCCACTGGCGAGTCTCCCGAGAAGAAATGCACAGCAGGCAGATGAAGAAATCCAAAGGGAAACTCAGAGACAAACGACAAGTAGAAGAGAGTGAGAAGAATTTAGAAGACCAGTTTTGCAAAGATGGAGATGTGGGAAACTGCGTGCTGGGCAGGCAGCAGGAGGGCGGAGGCTCTGAGATGAGATTCTCCGAGGAAGAGGTCGGGGGAGAAAAGCTGGCCCTTGGCAGAAGGCTAGATGGCAAGGCCATGGAGGGCGGGGCTGTGCAGAACGGGCCTGCTATTTACAGCAGGGCCCCATCAGCCCCTGGGCACTCCGACCCTGGAGAGGATGCCAGGAATGGGGGTGTCGAGGAGGTTGATGGAGAGCCCACTCCAGTACATGAAAACTGAGTTTGTGCTGAAGGGAGATGAGTGGGCAAGCCCAAGGCATCCTGCCAGCAGCTGGTGTGCGCTGATGTTGTAACCCTTTGGTTTGGCTTGACTGCTCCTTTTGAGCTCACCCGGGCCCTCCTGAGGCCAGTTCCCGAGTGTTGATTTCTGCACATTTGAAAGGTGTGGTAATGCCTCTGTGTGAGAATGCAAGGTCAGGGTACTTCTTGTAGATCCTAAGGCTGAAGGCCCAGCCCTGGCTCTATCATTCCTCTCAAGAGGATCTGGACCATCCAGTGCCTGATAATGCCCACAGGACATCCATGGTGCATCCGGGTTATCCCCGGCTACCCGCCAAGGGCTCGTTCACTCAGACTCCCTGCCAGGCAGTTTCCACCCCTGCCACTTTGTGCAGCATTTGGTGACTTCAAACACCCCTAGAGCCCTAACGGCTGCCCTTCTCTACCTAAACACTGCTGCTTTGGCTAAGAAATGACGTTGAGGAAGGGAGGTCCCCAGCCTCCTGGCTTTTCTCAAAGTAGTCCTATAGATACTGGTAGTCTGGAAACGAGGAGGTTAATTCTGTGTGCACCTGCTCTTGCAGAACGTTCAGGAAGACATTCTGTTAGTATTAATGCCAAAAAAAATTTTTTTTAAAGGTTTTGTATTCAGCACACCCTATGAATACATGTTATTTCTGTCAGTTCAGGGCTGTGGGCTGGTTGGGTGCCCGTGTTATGTGCTATTTTAATCAGTGTTATCATTGGCCAAGTTGTTACCCCTGTATGCTGTGTTTGTCTCGTGTTTATTTTGTCCAGAAAGTATTGTTAAAGCTTTAAGTAGACACATCTGGCAAACCTTGGAGAGAGAATGCCAATTGTCTTGACTGAAACAACAGCTCGCCTCTTCTCTGTTCAGTTACTTAAAGCAATAAATCATTTGAGTTTATTGCCTTGTGAGTAGCATTTATCCTGTCACAACCAAAGTCTTGGCCTAACGTCCAAAGGGCTCCACCCCACATCCCCTGTGCAGGTTTTACAAGTGTCTCACTCCTGACAGCATGAAGATTTGTGGGGAAGAAACACAGCTCCAGTGGGAGTGTGCAGAGGAAGCTAAGCGTGCTGTGTTTTCTCACCATCTGTAAAGAGGCTAGAGAGGGAAATTAAACAAGTAAGGAAGGGCACCGGCTGGGGGAGACACACACCTTTCCAAATAAAACCCCCCGCATCAGTTGAAAAGCATGTTTCCAAGCTTTTAACTATTAATTAACGAAGCAAGTCTCTTCTGTTTCTTACTAAAAGCTGTTTGTAATATATGTTTACAACATTCCGTCATTCTTCCTTGACAAACTCCCCCCCCGCCCCCCCGTTTGGCATCTGTTTTGCAAAACTGGGGATTGAACCCAGGGAGCAACATGGCCTTGTTGAGTTGCCCAGGCCAGCCATTTCTTTTTTCTTTTGTAAAATTTATGTATTTGGTACACAGGGTCTCACTACACAGCAGACTCGTAGTGACCTTCCCGTCTCAGCCTCCCCAGCACTGGGATTGCAGGTGTGCACTCCCGTGCCTGGTTTGGGTGGCCGGCATGGCTTGTAGTACCAGGGATTGAACCTGAGGCAGGCGCTTAGACTGCTAAGCTAACTCCCCGGCCACCTGGCCTATTTTCAAAATGACATTTTCCACAATTATACTGTCAGTAATAACTTTATAGAATTTTGACTTCAGCACAAAGCTTAAAGGATCACTACTTTGAAAAACAACTGCAGGCTGCAGGGCCTTCTATCACTCAGCCTTGGGTGCATTTTTTAATACTTAAGTGACATTTATGTTTGCTGTATTTACTGTAGGGCTAAAAATTAAGGTTACTGTAGCTAACGTGAAGTCAAGGAGTTTGCCCTCATGATAAGCTGACAAATAATTCTGGAAGGTCTTGTTTTTCTCCCTTGCTTCTTTACACCCCTCCTGATTGTGGCAAATTACCAGTCTACAGTGGAGGTTCTCAAATCAGCTATGCTTAGGAATCACTGGACATGCTTTTAAAAAATGATGATGCCCAGGCCCTAACCCCCGAGACTGTGACACAGTGGTCTGGCCGTCACGACTTTTAAATGTTCCCTGGAGTATTCTAAGGTATAGCCAAGGTTTAGAACCACTGGCCACAGATCTCTATGAATGGAATTGCGGTTGTTGTTTGTGAAGTGAAATGCTTTTTCCAAATCAACCAAGGCCCTGAAGCGTAGTCCCAACATCCTGCGTGTGCATTTCAAGTGTGTGCAGAGGTCCTGAAAATATTTTTGCGATTGCTAACTGTCTTGCTTACTTTTCTGTCTCATTGCTGGGACAAATACCTGACACCCAGAATTAAGGTAGGAAACGTTTATTTAGCTCTGTCTGTGGAAGTGGAAGTCTGTATGGCTCCATGGCAGAGGGCAGTAGTTCATGGTGGCAGAAAACAGGAAAAGCAACAACAGCTAAAGAGGAGGAGCAGGGGCAGAGACCTAGCCTCTTTCCTTCCCTTATACTGTATGCAGGCTATCTGCCTCAGGGCAGGTGTGGCACTCAAACCCATAATCCCAGCATTGGTCCAGGAATCAATCAGAAACTCTAGAAGCCCGCCTCATGACCACATGAGGCTCTGGGGGACATCTAGACACAGACTATAACACAAATATGGTTAAAAAAAAAAAAGAAAGAAAAAAGGCCATCCTTTTGAGGCCCCAGTAACTAGTAAAAGCTGCAGACTTGTGCTGTTGGCATGGGTTTGTGCATGTGGGGGCTTTGGAGGGCTGCGACTATCAGTGTGTATAAGGAATGGGAAATTGGGAGTTCATCAGGTGACTGAAGTGTGAGATTCTTGGGAAGCTAAAGTTGACTTCTCATTTTTTTCACTGTGCAAATGTTTGCAAGCCCCACTCTTCACCTCCAGAGAGGTTCAGAAGGGAGCAGTGGGTAGGGCTTGGCATCACTCGCAGGGCACTAAAGGCAGTGAATTTTTACCAGGCATATTTAAAGAAATGCAGGAGTATGGCTTCAAGTACACATGGCACAAGGGCACAGTGTTGGCAGGCCGGAGGAAACCTATGCTGATGAAGGGTGTCATGACTTTTAAACGTTCCCTGGCATATTCCAAGGTATAGCCAAGGTTGGGAATCACTGGCCACAGATCTCTATGAATGGAATTGTGGTTGATATTAGATGCCCCCGCAAAGACTTCCACTTCCACAGACAGCTAAATAAACCTTTCCTACCTTAATTCTGGGTGTCAGGTATTTTGTCCCAGCAATGAGAGAGAAAAGTAAGCAAGACAGCAATCACAAAAACCTATGCTGGGGGCTGGTGAGATGGCTCAGTGGTCTAAAGCACCTACTTAGAACAAGCTTAGCAAAGCACAGGGACCACGGTTCAATCCCCCAGCACCACATACCAGCCAGCCCCGCCCCCTGGTGGGCTGAGCTGGCCACACACACCACACACACACACACACACACACACACACACACACAAATAAATAAATAAAATTAAAAAAAAAAAACACCTATGCTGTTTTATACTGGGCTTGTATGGTGGAGAAGCCAACTGGAAGAGGACAGTGCTGGCTGAGGTGCTGCCGACACAATGTACGCTCTTAGTCTCATTTATGAGTTAACCTCATTAACCACATTTCTTCAGTGTCAAGTGTGAAAAGGGGCCAAAGGCACTCCCTTTATCAGATTTTTGTGAACATAAATGTGCATAAAGTGTTTGATCTGGGGTAGCAGCTGATCATAGCGGCAGCAGGTAATAAATGTGTCAGAGGCTGGTTGTGCTCACCCAGTACCCACAGGCGCTGATACTTCCTGTCCATCTTGCAGTTGGGACCATGACCCTGGTTCTGGGATGTAAGCCACTTCCAGGCTTTACTTTTAAAAGACATACCTCAGACACTTCCTCTCATTTGCATTACTCTTGGCTCCAGCTCTGGTCCACTATGGTTCAAAGAGGACCCAGACAAGGGTGTCAAAATAACTGTTGCCTTACTAAGCCACAGTGATGCTGAAGTTTATGTTACTACAGTATAGTTAGTATATTCCATATTAAGTGACAGCAATCCTATTGGCAATACCAAATCCTAATTTACTTGGTAGTGGTTGTAAATATAAAAAAAAAAATAACTTGAATCCTTTTTTAAAAAAAATTACTAGTACAGGGTCTACAGGGCCTCACTACACAGATCCCACTCATAGTGATCCCCCTGTTCTCAGCCTCCTAACAGCTGGGATTATAGGCATGCGCCCATCATGCCCAGTCTCAGTCACGTCTCAGCGTGCCCCAGCAGCAGGGCAGGCACAGCCCTCTGGGAATTAGAACCCCGGTCCCTAAACCTTGTCTGACTTTTTCAAATTACAAACTGCCCGTATTTCATTAGTTGTTGATGTTGGTGAGAGCAGCTTCAGAAAACATTAGCAGGAAGCATTCTAAATCATTTCTTGCAAAGCACATTTTATCAGTACTGTAGAATTCATCACCACCAAGCTCTGCCACAGACTGACTTTCAGGAATAGCTCTGCGATGGCAGTACTTAGTAGGAGGAACACATTGCCCTCAGACTCATCACTCACCCAACACGTTTTGGTTGAGCTCATCGCCAGCAGGGGCAAGATACTGCTGGAAGCAGCACGACCTGGACTCTGCTGGCCTCATAGCTGTCTGCGAGTAAAGAAGTCTTAAAGAGGGTCGGCAGGAGGAGCGAGGGCCACACAGGCAGCTCAGTGTCACTCCTGCTTGCGGCAGCAGCTTCTGTTTCCAACAAGAAGCGCTAGGAAGCTGACTGCATGGGCAGCACAGGGTGGGCACAGGCGATCCTGCCCCATGACCCACTAAAGTGACTGACGCAGCTTCCCAGGAGCCTGGGTTTCCTGTACAGAGTGTGGAACAAGGAAGTGTGTAGATGGCAGATCTAAGCACAAGAGCATGAAGCAAAGTAGTGTTCACAACAGGTTCCTGTTGCTAGCATTCATTTCTGTGGCCAGACTACGAAAACTGCGGTTGCAGGAACAGCTGGTTCTCAGAACCTGGGGGCTGCAGTTGCCCCGGGCAGGCCAGCGTGGCAGGGCCCTTCCCTGCAGCAGCAGAGGCAGGCAGCCTGCGTGACAGACGTGAGCACAAGAGGTCAGGGTACTCACTGCTGTACAGAGATGTGTATTTCAGTTCCTACACCACTGTGCTGGTGCTGGGAAGACAATGCAGTAGGGCGCTGTGAACCGAGATAAGAATTCTGCTCGGGTGGTAAATGCAATGGAAACAACTGGTCAGCTTTAAGCAGGGAAGTGACATCAGACTTGTATTTTTTTAAAAAAGAGCCAAAGGCTACCATGAAGAATAACGTCCCATGGGTCAGAGAGGGTACAGAGAAGCAAGTTAAAAGGACAGTCCTTTATTCCAGGCAGGGAGTGCTGGAGGCTTGCAGCAGAGAAGGGGACAGGTCTGAGAGTTGTTTAGTAGCAAAAGCCAGCTGGATTTTGTGATGGGTTGGGAGGGAGACCTGGACGCTAACACCCTGCCAGACCCAGCTGTGAGTTACCCGTATTAAAGGCATTTTCTCAGAGTACCACTCCAGTGGTACTACTATCATTTGGAACTTTTCTCGGGCCTCTGGGATAGATTTGTG